CATAAAGAATTCCAAATTCCACAAGAAAACATGGAATTTGGATAGATTACTTTTCAGCACACAGGTGGCAACTAAGGCCATAATCCAGGTGGTTTTCTGGAACTTCAAGAAACAAAATGCAATCAGTACATTTGTAAGAGCCAAATTCTTCATCCCAATCACTATATTTAACTATTGCTTTCAAGTGATTTTTAAAAAGACAGGCAATATAATTAGCATTCTTTTGATTTTAAAAAATATCCAGGCTGGGCCTCCCTGGTGATTCAAGGGGTTAAGTCGCAGCACCATGAAGCTATCCGCAGCGAGTTCAATCCCTGGCCAGGGAGCTACCCTCATGGCGCAGCAGACCTCCCCTCAGCCGTGCATTTCAGTCAATCTGTTCTGTTCCCCACTCTGTCTCTGGTGAGTTCTCTCACTCCACCCACCACCGGACCTCTGACCTGTACCCCAGTTCTTATAGACATAAATATTTTTTTAAAAAGAATATCCAGACCTTCCCTCCTGGTGGCAGAACCAAAAAAGGATTCAGAGAGAAAGGCCTGACAGCCTGGCATCAAATAATCTAGAATGTCCATGCTAGAAGATGTAACTGATATGTGCCCCAAAGGCTTGGTCTTGGCTTTGAGAGCTTCTCAAGGCTTATTAGGTACTTTCCCCAGCCAGCAGCGCCTGTCCACACTTCTTCTTCCCTATTCAGTCAAGTTCCAGTCTGGCCATTTCAGTCTTAAATATCAAGAAAATGTAGGAACAGCGTCTTCTGATTCTGCAAAATCCAGACCACTCAATCCAAGTACAATTCAACACTCAGAGGAAGTATTAGATACACTCCTCAAATGCAATTAAAGCACTTACCAAATCCTTGATTCATTAATGCAAAAAAACCCCTTCATGACTTACTTTAATATTTTCACAGAATAAAACTGATTATTCATCGACAAATTTCTGGCCAGTGAGAACTTGAGTTCTGTTGAAATTCAACAGTTTGTGCCATAAAATCATGTCTTAGATCACAATAAAAAATAGGATGCTACTGTTTGCACATAATATATTCTAGTGTCCCTGGAGAGTTTACCTGCCTCAGAACGGAGCAAACACGATTCAATTGGTTAGCCACCACAAAACCCACAGAAACAGCAGAGGCAGCTAAGCTTCAGTGAGCATCTCCTACATCCCAGCACTAAGCCTCAAGCTTTATGCATATCACCTCATTAACAATGGACCTGCCTTTTTCCACTAGAGGAATGACCCAACAATATGTTTTTACTCTATGATTTCAATGATAAAAATTTCAAAAACAGGGCCTCCCCAGTGGCGCAGCGGGTTGAGCGCCACTCTGTGAAGCTGTCCGCAACCTCTGCAGAGCGGGTTCAATTCCCAGCCAGCCAGGGAGATAACCACATGATGCACCAGACCTCTTCTGTCTCGCCCACTGCTCCCCTCAGCAGTGCTTTCAGTGTTTGCCTGTTCTGCTCCCTGCTCTCTGGTGAATCCTCTCACCCTCCCATGCCCCTAGCCTGTACCCCAGTTCTTGTATATATAAAAATAAAATCTTTAAAAAAAAATTTCAAAAACAGCAGTTAGGTTTTTACCTCTTCTGTGCTAGACTGACGAAAGTTTCCTTTGGGACAAGTGAGACAAGGTAGGGAGTCGGGGTAGGGGAGGGGGGTAAGACATCTCTGGGATTTCTAGAGAGTTACCTACAGTGGGCATGTTCACCCAGTGGTAATTTATCAAATTGTACACTTAACTTGTGTCCAAGTTGTTTTCTGAATGTAAATTAGAGCCCAGGAAATTTGTAAAAGGTTAAGATGTAAAAGGTAAAATTTGTAAAAGGTTGATGGAAGGATGTGCAAAGAGTAAGCACTGTCAGGAGTCCTACTCTCTTACACTGGCTTCCCCAATAAATGGCCTATGATTTAGGAGAGTCACTTCTGGGGACCTGTGTCTTTATTCCTCACAAGGAAGTTACATGTTCTCCAATTTTCTCAGAATACCATGACTTCCTTTTCTTTCTCAGGCAGGAAAAGAGAGGGACGATTGGATTGAGTAGAAAAGTAATAGCAAGTGTCTCTACCACTAGGACATCGTTAAAACACAAAACGAAGCTGATCCAGATTTAGGGAGACACTCAGGACTACAGAAGTGCTGTTTTGGAAAGGCAAGTTCTTTCTAAGCCCCTCCAGGGGAGAAGATGGACACAATCTCTAAGCACTTTTCATTAACAAACTTGTCAATATCATTAGAAATTTTAGAAATAACACTTTCAAAAATTCACAATGGTGTCAAGGCAAGTGGACATTCCTAGCACGGTTACCAGCATGAACTTGGTATAATCCTAAAGGCCAAGTAGCAACACACTTATAACACTTATAACACACTTCTATTTACCCAAGTGTTCTGGAAAAAGGGTACCTTAATTAAATATTCTGCTGAAACAAATGCCCATATATAACAGAGGAGGATTTCACATTTCCAAGTAAACTTTTAGGTGATCTCAGTGATTCAAAATTCTTAAGGGTATTGTGAGGAGTTATGTACTGCCAATAAGACCAACTGTTTCACACCGAAAGAAAAAACCTATTTTCGATCAATACAGAAAATTTAGAAAGTAGCATTAGTTTATAATACAGACCATGTACTAATAAGCAATTTCAACCCCAGAGAGAACTGTTTTCTTCGGTTATTATAAAACCCAAAAGTCTTTGATAAGCTGGTGGTCTTCCAGTCTACAAGTTCAAGAGTTTGAGTTAAGGTTAAAACACATTCTTGGGAGTTGCTGAGAATCTATTTCATCTATAAGAATCATTCTCCCAGGGCCTCCCTGGTAGCACAAGGGGTTAAGCGTCAGCACTGTGGGGCAGAGTTTGATCAGCAGAGTTCGATCCCTGGCCAGAGAGGTCTGGTACAGTCTGCTCCCCTCAGCAGTGTATTTTACTCAATCTACCTGTTCTGCTCGCCACTCTATCTCTGATGAATCGCTCACACTCCCCTCATGCCCCCTGCGCCTCTGGCCTGCACCCGAGCTCTTATATGCATAAATAAATCTTTTTTAAAATATATTAAAAAAAGAATCTCCAGGGCCTCCCCGGTAGCTCAGTGGTTGAGCGCTGGGCTGCGAAGCTGCCCGCAGCCTCTGCTCGCCAGTTTGATCCCCGGCCTCCAACGAGGGTCCCACATGGCATGCAGACCTCTCCTGCTACGCCTGCTGCTCCCTTCAGCAGTGTACTTTGTCAGTCTGCCTGCTCTGCTCTCCGCTCTGGAGAATTCTCTCACCCTCCGGTGCTTCTGACTGTACCCAGTGCTTGTATAAATAAATAAATAAATCTAAAAAAAAAAAAAAAAAAGAATCTCCAGTTTTCCACCAACTCTGTCATCCATTTTGTTATTGTTTGCTGGGTGGCATGATTATTTAAAGTGGAAGTTAACCCCTCTATTACATACTGTTAACTAAAAACAGAAATTGAGGCTGGCTCTAAAGATCACGTTTATTTCCCTTCATGTACTATTATCTGAAAACAACCTGACTTGGGATCCTCGCTATACAAATTAAAATCTGTCTCTATGACTAACCACAGGATAAGTACTAAATGTCATTGCTTTTTCCTTTCCCAAGATGATTTAAAAGAGGGGCCTTCCCAGTGGTGCAGCTATTGAGTGCTGGGTTAAGCGCTGGGTTGCGAAGCTGCCCGCAGCTTCTGCAGTGCCGGTTCGATCCCTGGCCACCAGCGAGGGTCCCACATGGCGCGCAGACCTCTCCTGCCGCCCGCTGCTCCCCTCAGCAGTGTACTTCGGTCCTTCTGCCTGCTCTGCTTCCCACTCTGGCTCTGGTAAATTCTCTCACCCTCCCGCGCTTCTGACTGTACCCAGTGCATGTATAAATAAATAAAATAAATCTTTGAAAAAAAAAAAAAAACATGATTTAAAAAAGGTAAAGATGTGAAGGTAAGGGCCTCCCTGGTGGTGGAAGCGATTAAGACGCAACCTATGAAGCTCCCCACAGCCACTGCAGCACAAGTTTGATCCCTGGCCAGGGAGGTGACCCACATGGCACAGCAGACCTCTCCTGACTCGCCCACTGCTCCCCTCAGCAGTGTACTTCAGTCCATCTGCCTGTGATGCTCCCCACTCTGTCTCTGGTGAATCCTCTCACCCTCCACACCCCTGGCCTGTACCCCAGTTCCCGTATGCATCAATAAATAAATAATAAATAAATCTTTAAAAAATGTGAAGGCAAAAGTTGAGGGGGGATAATCAATTCCAGGAAGGCAGTATGGCTGGTTTCCAAGCCTTGTCTTCAGAATCTGCACGGATTTTGAGCACAGGAACTATTTCGGGAAATAAACAGGTATGAGAATAACACCATTCTCACCTACTTACATTCTCCCCAAAATAAAAGCCACCGCTAAAGCCGGCCAAGGGCTGGGCAAGGCATTTCACAGCAGGTGTAAAGACGGCTCCATTGCAAAGTCATCGGGACCACAAAAAATCCCTATCAGTGTCAAGATGTAGACAACTATCAACAAATCATATACTCTGCTTCTGCACCTCCAATCTGCTTGGAAACTGGGGCAACTGAGCCCAAGGACTAATGTCCCCCGCGGGACAGGGCGCCCGTCCAGGCGATCACGTGCGCTCAGCACAAACACGCCAGTCGCCGGAGGGGTCAGCCTCCAGGCCCACCGCCTTGCCGCGGAACGGCAGCTTGAGGGGAGGCCCCAACCCGCACTAACTAGACCCCTCGGTGACGCCCCCGCTTCTGCCGCGCCAGCCCAGCCGCTCGCCCCGACCCAGAGCCCGCAGCGCGGCCCGCTCCCCGCGGCCGTCCCCGGCGGCCGCCGCCCGGCAGGTACAGGCGGCGCGCGCGCCTGCGCAGTGCGCGCCCCTGCCCAGTCCAGCAGGGAACGCGGGGCCCAGGCCCGGAACAGTCCGCTCCAGGCTCCGCGACGGGTGGCCGGGCCTGAGGAGGGCCCGTCCCGCAGCTGGGGGGTCGCAGGGCTTACCCGCGGCCAGCAGGCTGGCCAGAAGGAAGAGGGTGGACATGACGCCGCTTGACTCCGCAGTCTGCAATGCAGAGCGTCAGCTGACCCTCCGCGAATATAAACCCGCCCCACCCCGAAGCCACCCACCGCGCAAGCGCAAGCCCCGCCCCGAGCGGGCCGGCCCGAGCTCCGCGCGCAGCCTGACTCAGCGCCGCCCAGGGCGCCTGCGCGGAGGGACGGCGGGGCGGGCGCCCGGAGAGGGGGTTCCCCTCGGCCCCCCAGCAGTGGATGAGGAGGACTCTGTAGGGGAAGAGCGGGGGGGATTTATTAAAAATAGTAAAACTAAGGATTTAAGAATTAAACCAGTCAACGTTAGAGATTATATCTATAAAATATCTTTTTTAAAAGATTTATTTATTCATACAATAACTGGGGTACAGGCCAGAGGCGTGGGGGGTGGGAGGATCCACCAGAGACAGTGGGGAGCAGAACAGGCAGATTGACTGAAATACACTGCTGAGGGGCATAGCAGGCGAGACAGGAGAGGTCTGCTGCGCCATGTGGGTTGCTCCCTGGCGGAGGATCGAACTCGTGCTGTAGTGACTGCGGAGAGTTTCGTAGTTGCATCTTAACCCCTTGCACCACCAGGGAGGCCCTATATCTATAAAATATCTTTTAAATCACTTTTTTTCTATGAGGTGCCATTTTCTATTATTGGTGCCATTTTACAGAGAACACCTACTCAAAAAGTTAATGACTTTAAGTTCTCACAGTCAAAATTCAAACTCACCCCTCCTCCCCCACAGGCTCCTAAGTGATGTTTATAGGCTTCACCTGCTGGGTCTGCGTGTTGCCTCATTCTGGACCCTGGTTTTCCCTCTTAACATTTCTTATCAGAGGTCACTTACCACCTGACCTACCAGCAGGTTTCTCTATTCTATATACACAAGATTCTGCCACGGTCTGTCACTGGAGTTGGAGGGAGTGAAGGGGTTCAGAACAAGCCCCCAAATGTGCCATATCCCTTTGTTCATTACAGTCATGCATTGCTTAGCAACTGCTGGAGGTAACAGGAGAAATGCCTTGTTTCCTTTGAATTATCCTCCCCTTGGAGCCCCAGGTTCCTATCTCATTCCTTAGATGGGGTTGACAGATAGGCTTCATTTTGACAGATAGGCTTCACTTGCAAGCCCTTAGCTTTCATAGCTTTAAAATTCCCGTATCTATGTAATTTTTTTCCTAATAGACTATTACAAGGATAGTGTTAGTCAAGAACCTAGAAGGGTAGAGGGAAAATTATTTTTCTTCCACTACAGGAGTAATATGGGGGAGAATAAGAAATGGAATAAGCCATTGGATAAGGGATCAAGAAATGTAGCCCAAGTTGAGAACCCGGCTAAAAATAGGCTGGTAATCTTGCTGGAGAAACAAGTGTCCCCAAGATAGCCAGTCCCCATTCCTCCCCTTATTCCAGAAAGGCATAGGTGGCCCACACAAAGCCCTTGCCCTCTGCCTGTGTTGACCCCATCTGGTTCTGAGCTGAGGGATGACTTAACCCCCTCCCCCCAAGGGACAAGTAACTACCAGTCCCCTAAGGGAAGAAAAAAGGGGATCTCAAACTATTAGAGGTCATTCAGCCCCATTCCATCACTGTACAAAAAGGGGAAACAGGCCTGGAGAAGGAAAGACATTTGTCCAGGGTCACACTTGATCCGGGAGGGGCAAACCCAAAGTTCCCCTAGCTTCTGACAATCTTGAATCCTCTAGATTCTGACAGTCCTAGGAATAGCCCACAGACAGAGGTCTCAGAGCCTTTGGTTCTCCTCCTGCACCACCAACCCCACACTGCGGCTCTCACTTCCCACTGGGGATTGAGATGGGGAAGTGTGTACCACAGTGGGTAATGTGAAAGGGCTGAGAAGTTAGGACAAGCTTTTCCTAAAATGAACGGTTCACTAGTTGGCATTAGTGGCCAAATGGAGCCTATGGCTACCTCATCTGTGGGCTTCATATTCCTAAGTTCAGGCACAAGGATGAAGCAGCCTGCGCTATGGTCAGATGAACACAGAGAGATGGGATAAAACCTGTCCCTCAGTTCCTTGCTGACGGAGGAAACAAAACATCCCTGTGTTCCAGGCAGAGGTTGTAAGATTCCAAGCCAAAAGGAAACCTAGAGCTCTTCAGACCATCAGCTTTCATTGTGGTGGCCTTACTGAGATCTCAGAGCTACTTAATGACAGAGTCAGAACCAAACAAGCCTTTTTTAATATCCTCTCCCTTGTAATTAGAAGCATATGTCAATGGTTGTTTTATTTTTTTAGATGAACTATTGCTGTCTTTCATTTCTACACCGGTTAACACAAAAGCAATATATTCCTTCATCACCTTCCTCCCTGTAAGGATGGAATTTTAATAAGGAAAAACAGTAAGTAGATTATAATAATTTTTACCAGGTCAGCTGATGCTTAAATCCTCTTAAAATACCTTCCTAAACATCTATGCCATAGGCTGCAAGAACTTCAAAGGTATGTGGGCCTTTTGACCCTCTACTACCATTTCTAGCTATATACAACCAGGGAGACAATCCAGAAGCTAAGAAACATTTTATCCAAAGTGTTCACAGAGGGCCCTTTATAAAAGTGGAAACTGGAGAGATTCCAAATGCAGAGTGATGATGCAATAACTAAGGAAATCGCAGGCCTGGACAAAACCATGCAGCTTTGAAGCATGAGGTAGAAACAGCAAGTGCTGGTGTGCAGGGGTCCTTTGAGGGAAGTGAGTCTCAAGGCCAAAAGTCCCATCTTCTAGTGCCTACCATGCTATTCACTTCCCAGAAGGCATTACAGGCTGGCAAGGGAAATTTAAGATCCTCCAGTCTAGGCATACACTAAGGAGGCCATGGCCTTTTTGCTTAGTCTCTTTCAAAAGCAATGAAATTTTCAGTGAGAAGAGGAACAGAGGTTCTGCTGACTTTGGTTAATTCATTTTTGCATTATTTCACTTATTACAATGTCTACAATGTCTACATTATTTCACTTATTACAATGTCTACAATGTCTACAATGTCTACAATGTTACTTCATGTTTGTAAAAGAAAAAGTCTAAGAAATTTTATGAGAAAAGAAAATCGCCTTTACTTTTTTCCCTACTATGAATTCATTTTCATGGAACTGAAAACATGTTTTTCCTCAGAAATGTGAGGTACACCAGAGGTGGAAGGTGGGGGCGGGGGGGCAGAGGGTGGGGGTGATGTTCCTGATGGCTTTCCAGTTCTGAGTCCCAGTTCTTCATAAGGTCCTACTTCTGATGCCTGAGATCTCTTCTCTCTCACACACACACACACACACACAGATGCGCGCACGCGCGCGCACCACATCCTTTTGATAATTTCCCCCTTTTGTCCCCAAGGACTTTCATCTATTGCTCTTTCCACAATTGAGAGTGTCCTTAAGCCAAGACTGCTGAAGTAACATGTAACAGGCATCCATCTTGAAGACCTAGCCCACCTGCTTCACCCCAATCTCTACTCAGTTTCCCTAAACAGCAGCCCAGGAACCTTATTCAGCTCTGTAAGCTCCAGCCCCACTCCCACCCTAGCTGTGGCTCAAATAACTACACTCAGACTCCTCACCATCCAGAATCTCCCTTATCCAGACCCCCAACCTTCAGTCTCTTCTGCCTGCAATTGCCTTTCTGCCTACTCTGGACCCCTCAGTAAGCTTCAGCCCCTCCCAAAGAGCCCTCTCCCATCATGCTTTGTTCATCATCCAATTCCTGGTCTCTGATTTCTCTTCTACCAACCTCCTCTGGACTGCTGGAGAAATGTCCAGTCCCAACCCACCGAATCCTGTGCATTCATCACCGGCTGAACCCTCCCATATGGCAGTCTACTATTGTTTCCTAATATCCTTCACCTTTCCTTCACCTTTCCTTGATCTTGATAGTAAACAACACCTCTAGTCCTGGCTAGTCCTGGTTAGTAAACAACACCTCTAGCAATATATTCCTAATAAAGGCTACATCTCCAGTCTCCATTGCCACAGGTCTTCACTCTTTCATCAATGAAATGAAAAAATAAGTGCTCATTTTGTGATTTCTATGTACTATTCTTAGAAGGAAAGGACACATTCACCGCAAATATTTGACAACTGGTACTAACCAGCTGGAGAAGTGCCCTGGAAGGCTCCAAACGAACCAGGTTGTTGATTTGGAGGACTAGGTTATTCCAGGGGATGAGCCAGCAAGAAGATGGGCATCAGGAGGTCAGTATTTCAATAACTTTATTACTGATACAAGTCTATTGATTTATACCAGCTAAATGGCAGCCCTGACTACAAACTACTTCAGTCTCATCCCACTTGGCACTCTTCTCCTTCAGGTTATAAATATATCCAGTGCAGTCTCATCCTGAATGAGATATCTTCCTGCTCCTTTCACTGCAGCTACTGTGCAGTCTCCCACCTGCCCTTCACAGCCATACTCCTTGAAACAGTCACCTACACTCAGCATATCTATTCGTGGCCCTCCACACTAACACTAACCAGCCTACCAGCTCACTGAGTGTCTTTTTGAAAATTGATAATGAATGCTTACTTGGAAAGTCCACCAGCACTTTCTCATTCCCTTTAAGCCTTTGACACTGTTGAACTGCTCCTCCTTCCTACAATCTTCTCACTTGGCATCAGTGACACTGCGTGCCTCTTCAGGAATGCTAATTATCACCAGTCCCACTGGCCACTTCTTTACTCACAGCAGGCATCACTAACAGAAGCTGACTTCCAAAGCTTTCTCAGCTCCAGACTCCCACTGCTTTTACCAGCTGATCAATGTGGCTCTTGAATTGACATCTATCTATTGTTTGTCTTAGGTGGCATTCCCTGGGAAATACATTGTATAGTTGACATTGTTAGGGGAGGTACCATTTTACTCTCCCCCACTTACATGCAGCCACCTTGGACTTGCTACTAGGAACAAAGGGTGGCGCTGAGTGGCCAGGTCAAGCTATGTAACATGGAAGGCATGGAAGGGTTCCAAGAAGGGCTCTTGTTTCCCCAGCTTTTACTTGCATCCAGGGATTTAGGGGGACTTGGAAGGAGAGGCATGGAGACACCCCATGCATGCAGAAGAGA